TCTATCGTTACCTTCGCATACAACAGTCCACGTCACGATACAGCTGGATTTTCACCTTTTTACCTACTTTTTGGTTATCACCCGCCTTTGCCCATGGACACCATGCTCCAATCTGACGCCTCTCATCGACTGCTTATGCTCGTGATGCCCTGGCCCGAGCTGACATCGCCCGCCAAGCCGCTCGGGATTGGTTATGTGCCTCGCAGCTTAACCAAAAGAGTGCTTACGATCGCCGGCACCGCGACGTACAGTACTCTCCAGGGTCGCTCGTCTTGCTGTGGTTACCATTGCGTCGTGTTGGTCTCTGCAAAAAACTAATGCCCCGTTACATTGGCCCCTACCGCGTCATACGCAAGGTCACCAGCGTGACCTATGAGATAGCTCCACTCCATACCACGTCAGTACTAGCTTCAGTCCCGACCGATATAGTGCACGTCTCATGGCTTAAAGCATACTACTCACGCCCTGATAATTGATCGCACCTGGACGGTGCTTCTGCCGCCGGCGGGTAATGTCACGGGCTAAGTAGATGCCTGAGGATGACGACGACGAAGTGCTGTGGGGAACGTGCTCGGACTGCAGCAGCGTTGTACGCATTTGCTCGCCAGTATATTCATTGTGTTTACTTTATTCCCCGTAACAATATCAAAGAAAATTGTATTGTAGCCTACATTGGTTAACTGAGAAACTTTTTGAATTGAAATCATTGAGTGAATCTCTTCGACTGTACAATGAAATCTTGCATGGCCTTCTACACTTTCCCGTTGTTGTGCCCTAGGGGATGTGTACTTAGGGATAGTAAATTTCACGTTGTCAAAGCTACTATAAGGATTCGTAATAGTATTTCTGGTGATAACTTTCTTAGTGATGAAAACTTTCTACAAGAGATCAGAAAGTGTTCTACAGTTTCCTCTTCTCCACAAAAAAAAACAGAGCGGGGAAAGAGTCAAGTGTGCTCTAAACAAAGAAAGATTTAATGGAGGAATACGACAGCGTAATTCAGTGATTAAAACAACCAGGTATCGCCTATGACATGGATGAGTATTCCAGGGTATCATTAGATAGTGTAAATCTGGAGAATATTTTAAAGATGGTGTAGAGAGCTGTCTAAGAACATGTTCAAGCCCGTCTTCGTCTTCTTCACCATAGCCGTGCCACGTTCTCATCGACTGTTGCCGCAGTGCTTGCTTAACGCACCTAAATTGATTCGAGAGAGATTGAAACTGAGGAAACACAAAAAAAATATTTTTTTATAAGTGATGTTTTCGTAATTATTGCGTGACTATAAATGAAGCATTAAAAACGATGCAAATGGATTTTTTGTCGTGTGTGCTCGAGCCTGTAACCTTCAGTTTACTACTACGCAGTGTGTTTCCCTGATCTCTTTGGTGGCTATTTCAGTGCATGTTGTATGCAACATTGCACGCAATTAGCTTAAACGGCAAGGGCGAAAAGCAGCTTTTTATCCGAGGTTGTCATCTGACACCTGATTGTCACACTTGTTGAGAGCTCACGAGTAATCTCTCTAATGCTGCCAAAATGCACCAAGTCTAACCAAATTAGAATCAGAGACCCACCCACAAGAACTAAAAGAAGGGTTAGTTCTTTCCTTATTGTTGTGTAGCAATTGTAAAATAAGCTGCAAGGAGCAATATGAGATGTAGGAGAACCAACACCTATTGCACACCGTGCAGATTGCTCACAGGTGGTAATGAAGTCTTCGGTCGGTTGTAGGGGCTAAGCTTTTTATGGCGAGACCTGGCCGGTGCTGGAGCGGCGTCGGTCGTCGATGATGAACCATCCTTTTTATCCAGTAGCACTTCTTTTCTCTTACAATTGACGATGCTTTCGCATAGTGATGCATGCAAACTGCATTTGGGTGACGATACACTAGATTGCGCTGTACGCATTTCAATTCTCGTTCTCGTTTCCGTGGTTGCCGTCCCTTGACGTGCACACAACATGACCTTCGATAAGGCAGCCGTGAGGCAGTTTTCTCTCCGGCCGTCCCTATCGCATGGGGAGAGCATGTTTCCAGAGGTGGGCGTAACCCGCTCTTTTTTTCGCACCGCGACGCTCTTTCGTATGGTCTAAAACGGTGCAATGCCGTTAGCGGAGCTTGCAAGTGGCGACAAAAAAATATTTTACTTTTCTATATAATTTCGCTCTCACTTGGGATTGTCGGGCCAAGGTGTTCGAGATGCACCTGGTCTGTCGAACAGGTTTGATTGTATATACTTTCAAATGGGCTTGTTTTAAACTGTATATTGGCACCGCCCACATTAAAGCACCTATAATTGCGTTCATTCTGCAAGAGATCCGCATGTGCTGGAAACTTACTGTAATTTGATGTTTGCAGGCTGCATAGTATGAAGGGCACTGGCGAAGAAAAAAAAACATCGCGATCAACAAGTGAAGGCAAAAGGGCGCAGCGTTCTACGCTCACGAGTTACAATGAATCGAAAGGGTTGCTTTTCCGTTCCTTTCATGGAACTAGCGCCACGTTTTGTTGTAACGCCGTTTCAGTTTAATACTCCCGAGCCGCACAAGCAGAATACAGGGAGGAGGGTGCAGGCGCTCGCCACGCGTCTAGACATTGTTTATACTGAGCGTCGCCGGTTTCGAGTAAACGACACCGAGCTCGTTACAGGCAAGTTTTGGTCACCTTTGGTCGCCCATTATATATGAATTATATGGCGTTCAGTTATTACACAGTGTAAGAATAAACATTCAAGTGTTTGCTTGTTCAAGAAGTATGCAGCACGAGTTCACTTTGATGTACCTGGTGTGAAACTCTGCGGTGTTACATAGCAGCGATAATTCGCCCTTCTTTCTTTAGTAGTCTACCTTGGCAAATACTCAGTTTTCATTAAAGACGCTGTTACGCTACATGTGGGGCCCTTTGATTTGGATGCAGTCGAGATTACAGTGAACAAACACGGCACTGATATTGTCATTGGGCTACCAAAACATAATCAAAGTTCAGATGGTGAAAAAGTAGACAAAAACCACTGAGGGAATTTCACGGTGAGTGACTTGGAGAATAATTGTAGCTCGACTAATCGAAGCCTTCTGCAATATTCTGGCAAAATTACTTCTCAAGTACGTTATTTCAATGACATTTAAATATGTGTGGCTTTGTGCTACAAACGGGCGGTTGTCTTCTTTCCCTTCCTTAACCCTTCCGCCACCTTGCGGGTTTCCACAGGACCCATTTGCGACACATGACAATGACACTCAATTGCCTAAAGCGTAACTGCAGTTCGGTTGACGACCTCATAAATATCAGTACGTGATATAAAAATAAGGTTGTGAGTTAGGATGCGAAAGCAATACAATTCAACAACAATAATGAGCCTAGCTTTACCTATGCAAGTTTCCAGAAAGGAGGAATGCTAGACCACTTGTATATTTCCCTAAAAGAGGTATTTATTGAGAAAAAATTGACCGTAATGAAAAAACAATAATGCTGCAACAAAGGAATCATACCTGCTTACAATTGACTATAAGAAAAATGCAGCAGTTGAAATGTTTTTCTTAAGTTTAACCGAAATAAATGCAGTGAGTGAGAGAAAAAAAAACTTTCCTTTATTTCAGCCAGAGTATTCTGGCGGTGATTGTTGCTCGTACGCAAAAAAAAAAAACATGCGTGCGATGGAATCCTGTAGACTTTGCAGTATGCCATGGTCTCCGCCGCCACCGGTATTCAGGCCATCTCGCGGTAGCCGGGTGCACGAAGTGATACTCGTTGGTTTAGCTGGGGAGCGCAGCGATTCATACGGCCGGAGAGAAACACGCTGCGCGCGTGCCCTATTGGAGGCCGTGCGTACAATATGGCGGTTGGGTGAAGGTACGCTAGAAGCTTTGTTGGTTCAGCTGCTCTTCGATTCGCTGTTGCATGGGCTCCGCATGGCTCTGCCTGCGAGCCAGTTATCTTTTGTTTTCCTGGATCATCGCCGTACAAGTGTGCTTGCCAGATCGTGCTGCTTCGCGGACCATAGACGAGGAGGAGCGCGGAAGGCCGCTGCGCCTCGTGCTTGTCAGCAAGATTCCGAGGTGCAGATTAACGGGCGCACGGACGGACGCACATATGGGTGGAAGGACGCTTCGCCCCACTCGTCATGATTTACTCCGTCAATGTACTATAATTTTTTTTTGCCACTGGGTCGGCACCGATCGCTGATAATAGTCTTCCGGTCAGTGTAGCGGGCACGTGCTTTCGTCATGGCTTCGAATTAAGCTAGAACCAGACATTTTTGTTTCATTGTGCGATATATCAGTGACAGTACCAGGTGGCTTGGTATAACAATTGCGATGCCCAAAACTGCTGTTGTTGTGAGCTCATCACAGCTTTCGCAGAAAAAGGTAGCTTCTGTCAGGGGCCCAGACACACTCCCTTCAAATTACGCGTCCGATTATCAACTGATTGAGTCATAATGGAGAGCCCCGCGGCCACTTTCTTGAGTATTTCTGTTTTCGCAAATTTTGGGAATGTTCCGTATCTGAGGTGGCAAGTGGGGAACATTCTTTTGCTACAGAGTGGCACGTTGCAGCTTGTGAAGAGCAAATAAATTATTAACATTATGTGTAGAACTCTGTATAACAACTAATGTTTTTATTGGCGTCCATAGAACCATAAGGAGGCATGCATGCGAGTAAAATACATAAATATTGCTGGCCGCAAGGTACACGCTACTTGTTTTGCAATAGAGCAGGCTGGCATACACAAAAATAGAAACAAAATATGTCAAGGAGGGGTAGCTTCGCGACTACAACGTATATTTGCAGTTTGATGCGTCATCATGCTAGCGCAACAATGGTAAACATATGTTCAGTAAATGTCTGTCGTTGATAACCCAACCAAACGTGCAACGCAAGCTTTTTACGAATAAACCTGTCGAATATTTCTTGATAGTTGTCTCCTACTTTTAAGTTATGAACTTGTACTGTAGTGCTAGATTTGTTCCAGTACACTCAGTGAACTTCATTTGTATTTGTAGGCGATGAACATTTCGAGCATATTGTGGCTTTTGGGGTTCAACTACGTCAGCCCCCACACAGCGAATAAAAGCTGTGTTTATTTGAGCATATCATCCCTGACACCAGATTGTGTAAAATACTCAAGCAACTTTATAAAGTACAACAACTGGTAAGTAACAAAATTTCTCGAATGATGTCAATTGAACAGGTCTTTGAATCAGCCGCCGTTGCGGCATCGAATACCCCAAACTTTAAAGAAGCAAGAGAATCGGTACGGTGCATGTAACGCTACAGTAACACGACCCCTGCTGCATAGCATTTTTAAGTAACGCAAATTTAGATTTTTTTATGTGCGTGATCGAAGGTCAAAATTTGGGAGAGGAACCATGTGCTACCCGAGCGTTGCTGCATACAACGTAGTCGTGAGAATGGACACCATGGACAGAGAAGCATCGGCATTAAGGTACTTTGCCTCGAAAACTCAGCGTAAACACAGTGCCTGTCGAGCGCAGTTACGTGCACTAATGATGATGAATCGTTGGGAAAGTACTGTGAAGATATTTCATTTGCAGCAGTATAAAGGAACGTCCAAATGCAGTGTATCTGCAGGTGTTTACGCGAAAATTGCGCAACATCATGCTATGTTATTCGTACTACCGTACTGTGGTATCCAAATCTGGTAGTCGATAGTGCTTTTGATACTTGCACAAACTCAGAAAAAAATTCTCATTGTCTTCTAGAAACATCGTAAAAATGGGAGCTGATAGGTCAAGACGACCGTCCCTCTAAAAAATTATGCTCCCAAGTTTATAACACAAGACTGTTGGGTACAATATATGCGAATATATTTAGTAAGATACATGGCTGCAAGAAAATTGTAGAGCAAATAGCCGAATTGCCTGGCTGCTCATTTTGATTTGATGTTTGTTCCTAATTTGCTCTTAGAAAGTTTGTGCGCAAGAGCTAGCACAGTTGCGTAGTAGTGTAGCCTCATGCTGATTACTTTCTCAACTATTTTAGATCGAAGTAAAACAAAGCCCAACCAGATTCATTAGGGTAAAGCAGAATACTGGCACCTAATACACACAAAGAAGTCTGCTGGTTTCAATGAGGAATGTTAGCAAAATGGAAAATTATTATAAGAACGTTCTTGCATTAAGTCACAGTAATTTAGGTTGATGACCGGTTAGGAACAAAGCATGTGGGTAGCATTCGGTTTTCATCAAATGGTCTTATGATTACTTAAACTGCCTAAAAGTGTCTGCTTCTACATATTTCATATAATTTGATGAAGTTTCTGACCCGTATGACAAACAATACATGGGTGAAATTTCAGTGTACCAAAGATCCTAGAGCAATGACGCAGCCTTACAGCTGCGGCTAGTAACTTCGCATCAAAGTAAGATACGTTACACCAAATAGCAGAAGCTTGACGTCGTTGTTCAGATTAGGCAAAATGACAAGAGGGGAAGGGAGAGATGTCAACCTTTACTTAGTATTGAGACAGTGAGGTTGTTTTGCAGCATAGTTTTTGAAAAAAAAAAGTGCAGTCAATATTGAAAATGAAGTAAGTTAGTATAGTCCATAACATATTGAAACAAAAGTAACTACATCACAACAATGATTTTCTATTCACACGGTTTATCAGGGGCGAACGTGTACCCAAAGCCAAAGAAACACAGCAAATAGAAAAAGAACCGAATGTCCATAGTCGTCAAGAGCGCCTCCTCGAACACCATTGCTTTCGTGTTCACGCACGTTGGTCACTCCGTGGAAGCTCGTGCACCTGCAGTGCCCACTCGTGCATTGCCCCGCCGCGGTGGTCTAGTGGCTAAGGTACTCGGCTGCTGACCCGCAGGTCGCGGGTTCGATTGCCAGCTGCGGCGGCTGCATTTCCGATGGAGGCGGAAATGTTGTAGGCCCGTGTGCTCAGATTTGGGCGCACGTTAAAGAACCCCAGGTGGTCGAAATTTCCGGAGCCCTCCACTACAGCGTCTCTCATAATCATATGGTGGTTTTGGGACGTTAAACCCCACAAATAAATCAATCAATCAATCAACCACTCATGCATTGTGGCTGGATTTATCTGTTGTAGTGGTGCCGTGAGTGCTGCTCTTGTGTACGACGTCTGCGTTACACTGAGCGTTGGAAGTTTTCGTGGCATTATTCTCTCTCTCTCTCAAGCGGAATCACCCCGATGGACACGATGAGGCTGTGTGCAGAATTCTTTTTGTGAACATTTGAAGAAATGAAGTTAGTACAGCAAGCTATTGGGGGGCTATAGTGTTGGAATCGGTCGTAGTACCGCTTCATGCTTAGAATGTGTACACGCCAGTGGAAGCTAGTACAAGCCAACGCATTCATCGAGCCTGTATTCGCTTTCGACTAGGTGTCTCCTCTCGTCGTTGACAAGAAAAAGAGTGGTTCCCCCCAACTATATGCGTAGTCTTACACGAACCGGTAAAAGCAATGGTCATCAACGGGTTACCACTCCCATATATCGAAGAGCTTATTCAACGGCTGTCCAAGGTGGTCTGCTTTTACTAGGTCGGACGTTCCGTCCGCTTATCATCATGTTGAATTTCTACGTGCTGTAAAGACTTAACTACATTTTTTTTTACACGATGGGCTCTTTCGTTTTTGCCGCGTGCGCTCTCGGCTCACGTCTGTTCCTACTGTGTTTCAGGAAACGATATTTTTAATACTCAAAAGTAGCAAAGGTACACAGCGCTACCTAAATAATTTATTGGTATGGGGCCGAAATCGAGGTGAACACGATGCCAAATTGGCATTATGTTCTTTCTCGCATCAGTGAATGTGGCACGATTCTAATAAAAATAAGGTTTTTCGTGGAGTGAATTGCAGTTTTTGGGCGACAAGATCAGTTTGGCTTAAATGAACACTAAAGTCAAATAACAATTCACGTCAGAGTGAAAGCCCAATGTACGACAATATCTAAAATGACAATGTTATCAAGAAATGTGCGTACTTACCGAGAAATTAAGGGAAGTGCAAAAAACACATACGCTGCAGTACATTTTCAAAATGATCCCGATGATATCAGACAGACCACCTAAAATTAATCCCTACTAAATAAAAAACGTTCGAGGCATCAAGAGACGCAATAAAATGCTGCTTGTTCGTTTCTGTTTGATTCATGAAGAACCACCCGACGGTACTATGGAGAATGGCGTGAGTGGTTCCAAAATTAAATTTTCGCGTAGTTACGCTGAACAGGTGGTGCCATCTAGCAGGGCACAGTTGAACCGAAAACGTCTGCGATCTCAGAGCCATGGCGGGAAGTTTATCAATGGCCGTTGTTGCTGCTGAGGCTCCCACTGCTATCGGTCTGCTGCTACTAGCGCAAAAAAGCCGGGCAACGTTGTGCACGGCAACAGTGACGTGAGTCGGCCCAGACAGTCCGCTTCTTGAGGCGGGTAATTTGAAATGTGCTAACCCGATGTAGACCACTAAAATGTGACTTTATTTCAAAATAGGCCCTTTTTTGGCATAACACTACGAGGTTTCTGTACCGGTATTTTAACAATCAACGTTTACTCGATTGTTGCCTTTAAAGCCCCTTTAAACTTGTTGAGTAAGAAGTTCAGGGCAATGTGAATACACTGCATCCTGCAGACGTTTTGTTGCGTCTCCTTCTTCAGCTACCGGTTACTGAAGAGCGTGTTAAAGAAAATATTTGCTTGGTTACTTCTTGTATTACCAAAGCTGAACTTCAGGCTGCCATTGGTGCAGATCCGACAATATCTCAAGTTCTTTCTTATGTACGTGAGGAATTGCCTCCAAAACATGCCCCTTCAGCGGAACTTTTGCTTCACTTTAGTGTTAAACAAGAACTGCCTTGTGTCGAGAACTTCACTTTCCGAGATGAACGGGTGATTGCCCAAGCTTTTTTTCTGCGCAAGATGATTCAGCTGGCCCACGAATCACATCCTAACATTGTTTGCACTAAAAAGAACCTTCCTGACAGGTACTGGTGGCCCGCCCTGGAAAACCAGGTTGAACACGCTGTAAACAACTGCCACATATGTCAGGTGGCAGATACACCTGCAGAACTTTCAATCGCTCCATTCCAGGCTGTTCCGTGGCCTCATAAACCTTAGCAAAAGCTTTGCATGAACATTATTAGTTGTTTGCACAACGTGCTGCGAAAGTCTCGGTTCATTATTTCCCTCACTTACTATTACTCCAAGCAGCCTGAAATTCGTTACACGCCTAATGTAACTTCTCAAGTTATTATCGAGTTTCTGTCTTCTACTTTCCACAGAGGTTTTTGGCGTCCAAGGACCACGGGCAATGGTCCACAGTTTCAGTATCTGCAGTTTGAGACTTTTTTTTTTGGCAACGTTGTATTCAGCTTTCAGAATTTATCTGTCTTCTACCAGAAACTGGATGGAGAAATTGACCAATTCAGCCGCGTTCTGAAGGAGCACATTCTGATTGCACAATTGTAACAGCATCCCTTCAAGTAAGTCTTGACTGATTGCTTGGCTTCGTACAGGTTTTCACCACAGAGTACCACAGAAGTGTCTCCTGCTCAACTTCTTCAGGGTTGGCAGTTGCTCTCAAGATAGCTTCTTTACCTGGCAACACCTCAGTTCCTCCAAGTCAGCAACTTTGTACCAGAGTCTTTTCTCGTCTTAAGAAATGAAGCAGTATGTGGACAATCGTGAAAGAGCTAACCTTCCACAGTTACGATTTGCGTCCCAGGAAAACATCCCAACCAGCGGGGTCAGTAGTAAGTTTTAAAACTAGTAAGTTCAACTTCTTTCCACCTAAGTGTTTGGAATGCCTCGTGCACCGTTATTTCTCATACCGATTTGGCTTCAACGCCTCACACTTCTGCCTACCATTTTTACACTTCTTCGCGCTACTCACGGCAATGCTATTGTATTTGGCCTCTCTGCCCACATACTTTCTTTTCAAGTGGGAAGGACCTTTTCGTAGATGTAGCTCCTGGTGGAACAGTTCACTTTGAGTCTGTTGCTCATGATAGGCAGATCTGGTGTTTAGATGGAAGCACGATAGACCACCAACAGTTTCGGAAGCTGCAAGTCTGCTTACATCTTCTGATTGCAATGCTATTTTGGGTATAAGTCGTCGCCAAAAACTTGTTACTATTAAATCTGTTTTAGCTATGTCACTTTCACTGTTCGCGCGAAGAACCCTGGATTGTTCGTCACTACGAGCGGAAGTCTTCCCAATCATTGACCAAACGAATTTCCATTCGCATGCCTTTTTTTTCTCTGATTGCCGTACCGAGCAACCATTCGAGGGCAGGGCAAATATTCTGGTTCACAAATAATGAACCACTTGAGGAGTGACCAATGCCATTGTTGATAGCCTAGTTTTCTTGCCTTAAGAAAAAAAATCATCGTGCTTTGAGCGACTCTCAAATTGCACTATCAAGTTCGAACATGAAGCATTGTTCTTGGTTTTGAATGTATGGCAAACAACAATACCACTTGCTATTATTTGCTCATTCAGAGCTGAACTCATTTGAAACAGCATTGTGTGCGGGTTTTGTTTACTCCCGTACTTGATTTTCTTCATTTACACATTGAGATTCCCCGAGTATCACCCGGAATTAGTGATTCTTGTTTGATGGTCATTCAGCTGTTTCATGCCTTTAGTACATTCGTCTTCCCGCACTAGATGCTTTCATTTGAGGACTTTGCTTTCTTTTTCAGTGTTTCATTTTGCTTCTTGCTTATCAACTTCTTGCTTATCATATTGCTTACTTATCAACTCAAAACGTTCATACATTTTTGTCGACTCTTTTCCAAGTTAACGTTCAAGTTTAGATTTGAAATTTTCAAGCTCTCCTCTAAGCACTTTTTCGAAGAGAGTAGACATGGTTGGATACGAAGCAAACATAACAGTGGAAAGTTGTGGCTTTTTAAAGCAACTAACCATTAAATGAATATAATGATAGATATGTGCGGTTTAACGTCCAATACCACTAAACGATTATGAGAGAACAATAGCGGAGGGCTTCGAAAATTTCGACCACCTGGGGTTCTGTAACGTGCACCCAAATCTGAGCACATGGGCCTACAGCATTTCCGCCTCCATCTGAAATTGGGAAATGCAGCTGCCACAGCCGGGATTTCATCCCGTGACCTGTGGGTCAGCAGCAGAGTACCTTAGCTGCTTCACTACTGCGGCAAGGGAATAAATAAATAAATAAATAAATACATATATATATGTGTGTGTGCGTGTGTGTGTGTGTGTGTTCGATACCTAACCTGCGGAGATACGGAGGACGTATTTCAGAAGTATTCCTCCTTGCCCGCGTTGCTGCCAAGTGTAAAAGAAAGTAGAAAAAAATAACAAAAAATGATATAGACGTCAAAGTATTCATGTTCTCTGTTCAGCTGAAGTGCGTTAATATGGAGTGATTCGATTACGAAGGCAGAGCCTAAAAGACAACGGACCCAGCTCAGAGCGCTTGGTGGTGATGCGCTTACCCTCACCCTGTTTGCAACTCCGTTTCGTAGCACGGCAATGACGCGCAGAAACATTGCTGCTTGTGCACGCCATTTCAGGATTTCGACCACTGTACGTTCAGTTACTCAAGTTACTGTGCTGTATTCCGGCCAATGAAGAGTTTTGAATTGAACAGAGCAGCTGCCACCCTTGTCTCTGCCGTGTTTTTTTTTATGATTTCGCGGAGGCATTGATTCTTCCTCCATTTTCTATTTTCTTGTGGTGACGTATCTACATCCTCTTTTAAAGCTGCACGCCAACAACCATACTTTATAGTACACACTTTTTTAAGCGCGCAGGAAATTTTACCCGTTTGATCTTGGAATGGTAAAGTGGAGAACGTCACAAAATATTTGTAACCGTACGTAGTTTCTCTATTTGCATCAAACACGAAGTCATATGCACACGCGCCGCAAACGGTGATTGCTCTGGTGGTTCGTGTGGCACCGCGGTGGCTTAATGCGCATGCATGCATTCCGCGCACACGCACAGCTGCTTGACTCGGTCTACTGGTGGCCGTGACGGCAGATCCACTTTAGACCGTGCTACTCTTTTTTTTGTCGTAAGCGGTACATTTTTTAGTGGGGCTGTATATTGGTATACATACTCTCACACGCAAAACTGTATCACACTATGCGAACACGTTCCATGAATTGATCGACTCCATATTTTATAATCCAGCTTCAAGGCTCTTTCGCTCTGCTGCGCAACAAAATGGTTTAAATAAGTTTAAGCTTGATTTAAAAACTTAAGTGCTAGTCACAACGTGAAAATAATGCTGGAATATGTTGCTATATTTATTGTTCTTTTCATTTTACAATGATCTAATCACACGTTCTGACCTGTCGTTGGTCCCTTCATTATTTGTAATTTGTTTGGAAGAATGGTGCGCAATCTGCAGAGAAGTTTAGTAATATTATGAAGCATCTCGAGTGGCTTTCGCTATGACTCCCGACATTGTACACCTAGCTTGAATATCTCCGCCTGCCATTATTTATTTATTTATTTATTTATTTATATATTTATTTATTTATTTATTTATTTATTATACCCTCAAGGCCATGGGCATTGAAGAGGGGAGTGGGAGTAACAAGATGTACAAAACATAGAAAAAACAGAGCATGTGTTTAAATAGAAAAAACATAGATTATCCTGATTATACAATATTAGGTAATGCTTGATGAAACAGGTGATTAACGCGTATGAAAACAACATCGGCGGGAAGATGGTTCCACTCTCGGGATGTTTTTGGAATGAAAGACTCAGCAAAATATTTAGTGTTAGATGAAACAACTCCAACTTTGTGATTATGGTCAATTCGACATGATATGTACTGAGGTTGTGAAAGCAGTTCAGCATGGAGAGAAGCATGGTAATAAACCTTATGAAATAAAGTTAGGCGAAAAATGCGACCTCGTGATGCTAAAGATGGGAGGTCAATACTACTTTTCATTGCCGTTACACTTGCCGTTCTATTGTAATTTGATAGTATGAAACGGGCTGAATTGATAGTCTTTGCTAAATCTCTTATTTCAGCAAAGGCCGCATTGACTACGCAGGAATGTTTTACAATAGTCCCTACGTAACAAACGGCAAAAAGGAAGAGCCCGTTCATTACAGCAACCTGAGAGCATGGGCAGGTAAGATTCTGTGAGCAAGTAAGGTAGGATTTTGCTTGCTTCTTTAACAAAGAACATTAAACTTCTCATACGAAGCGTATAGTGCCTTAGACATTAACATACTTTTTTGGAAGTTAACGTAGTGCTACAAAACATTTGTTTGTAAACGTTATAAAAATGCATAAGATCACATTTACATGCTTTTTGCAACGTTGCGTTGCTCAGGACGGCATCAGCTTTAAAACAAGCTAGGACGAGAACAACAATGAATTGCATATAATTATATTTCACTAATTATACTTACACGAGATGAGAAAGATGTTGCGAACTACTAGCAAAACAGAAAATCGTCATAGGAAGAATCACTATCTCTTTTCCAAAATTGGTGACGTCGCTGATTTGTACAGATTTAGAAAACGCAGCGCATTTCACGCTGCAAACGAAAGCTGAATTTCTAATAGCTGTAGTTGGCGTAAGATTCAAGCACAACCACTTCTAATTGTTTCTTTGTTTCTATTTGGAAGTGATAAGCTAGCACCATAGTAAAACAGTCATCGTAGAAAGCACAATCAGGTGCATTAAAGAAACGAGCAAGAACCACTGATTTGCACGAGAACACTACAAGCACCGATTGCGTTCATTGTCAGTTCTGCGATATAAGTGAAACGATGAAAACAGGCAAATCAGCCAGACCTCGCCGCGATGCAACAATTGGAAGCGTTACGATTTTTAATCTTACTACTGGTGTCGATCACTTGTTTAAAGAATTCCTTCTTCTATTAGAATCGAACTTCTATTTGTTAAGTTTTACCTCATGTAAATTTTACATTTCATCATTCATATTTTCACTCTCACCAATGCCTCTCCTTTTTTATCAAAGGCGGCCAATTGTACCCGACCCAACCGTTCACGGCGCTCTCCTCTAGTCCTTAACTTCGGTCGCCCATTGGCTAGCTAGGCTTTTTGTGTGCTTTGCGGTCATGCGGCGAGAAGCCCTCATTCTGTGCCTCACGATGGAAATATTATGATGTAGATTTGTTCAGGTTGTGTAGAGATCCGTGTACTTGTATTCCTCGTGGTCACAACATTGGCGGCCACGCTAGCTCTGTAAAAGATGCGGTGTTTTGAGATTGCATATTGCCGTTCGTGGCGCTATGCGGGGAACCAACAGGGAAGCGTCACTGCAATGCTACTGCACGCGCTGCGCTGTGATGCGGCGTCGCATTGCTTTGAGCGACGAAGACGGAGCGCGGAAGAAGAAATCTGGCAGACGTATGGTAGAAGAGTGGGAAACACGTCAATCGCATTTCCGGGAATCAGCGCTCAAAAGCACGTGTAATGTAAGCAGCGTTAGCCATTATGTAGTGTCGCATCCCGATCAATCCCTGAACCAAGCTCAAACGACGGCTCCCGTTCAGAAGCGGGTGTTAGCACTGGCATTGATAGAAAGAACGGGTGTAGTGCTCTGGCTCAAAGTAGTGTGCCTGCTGCTCTCACCGAAGTAATTCCGCAAAGCACATGGTGGACTCCATTGGCAGTATTGCAGCACTTCCTGCAGCAGTTTTTTTTTCTGCTCCATGCGCAGCAAGGTGGTGCCATTGAAAGATTGAAAGTGCTCCCTTCTTGTTGCATTGGTAGATCCAGAGCAACTGCAACACCAAGTCAACTCTTTAGCTAAACTCAACTGCTCCGCGAAAAGCAGCGGATTTCGACGCTGATTGGCATGTGCTCCTCGAGTGGGAAATGCATCATTTATCACGTGGCCAGCACAACGATCTGCTCGGGTAGCATGAAGAAGAGAAAGCACAGGAGAGGCCCTCGACATCCTTGCAGCTAAGCAGAAGGTATGGTGGAAGCCATGGCACGTGCTGAATTCCGCATGGGCTACTGGGATTTCTCTGTTACGTTTTCATCTCGCGTCGTCTACACATCACCACCCATATGATCATGATCATTTATAGAGCCGGCTGGAGTTGCAAGTGCACGCTTTCAACTCAGCACTTTCTCTTCCGAAGAGGATTGCTTGACCTCATGCAGCACTTTAGCTAGAACACGCGTTTGTTTCGACTTGGTACCGGAATCATCTACCAAGTGTTTGAGATTGTTTCACTTACCTCCTGATTACCTCCTGTGCGCATATGCGTGTCAATTTAATGACAGATTTTGTCCCATCGCTACATAGAAATAGTTTGGCAGTGCTCCTCCATCTCCCTGTTAAGCTCATTGATCTTTTTCATGAGCTTGCATTTCAAGTGTTGGCTTTTCCACAACTCGAGTTGCAACTGCTTGGTCTCAAAAAAGTACGCCAGCCTGATATCAATTTTACAACGAAAGCTGTTATAAAATTAGAACGTGGGTCACATGCAGCGCCGTATTTGTCCACCGCCACTACCACCGGTGCCCGTAACCAGTACCGAATCAAAAATACTCAGTCAATTGATAAAGAAACGCCCCTAACCCAATGGGACTTGAACCCGGGTTCACTGCATGCCAGCCCAGTATTATAACACTGAGTCACGCTGGTGCTTGAAACTAGTTTCCAAGCTGGCCCAAGCAGGATTGCTGTCGGGAAGGGAACTGTGTTAATATGACTAATAGAGCTTTTTAGAATATCAGAGGAAGAGCCAGGCGTCCCACAATGTCAGTCGCGTAACGAGTGAGTCGTAGAATGCACCAGCGCATTAGAAACCTCGTTATTCATCCCCCATTAGCCGTGGCACATTGCCACTTCCGACATAATTCTTCATTGTCGTCAGCCACTGCACAAAAAATTGCAATAGATTCCAAACAAGTGTGGAGCGGATACCACGCTTCTCCAAAAAATGACGAAAGATGGCATAGTGAATGCTAGGCTACCACACAAAAGTTATGGTTATTTATGGCATAGTGGGTACACAGAAGTGTGCTTGTAGCAATACCCAAAGAAGTTTAGAAAAAACTCCGAACGGCCTCTCTTTCAGCTTTCACTGTGACTTTGTAGCGCGCTCCGCGCAGTGCTGGCGTTTTTTTTTCTGCTCGTGTATGCATCTCTGCTGTTTTGGTGATGGAGAAGAGGTCTTTCGATACACCTTCGGACCACTAGTCAAGGCTCTCGGGCTTTTCGCCACTTAAGGCGCTGGCCTTACGAACCTCTTGGAATTCGTCCCAGTCTGAGAACGAGAAGGCCTTCTTTCCATTTTGTTCCACTTGTTAGCTGGTCGCCATGATGTAATGATCGTTACCTAGGTCTACCAGCGGCTTCGACCATACAACTGAGCCAATGCTTCTAACAAAGACGAGATCCGGAACAGAGGCCCTAGTCGAGGCCTTGCCAGATCTAGTGGAAAACGCCAATGATCTGGATTTCGAAACAGACAGAATTCAGCATTTTCTTGATTGCTCACTTGACTTTAGCCTGTATGTTTGCAGCCATGCTCAGAATGGTCTTTCTTTACGCTGGGTCAAATTGTATGAGTGGCTGACCTCCACGATCATTAGAACGTCTGCCAGTGGGAGAGAGGGCGTCAACAAGGTGGTTGCACTAAAGTCCGGAGCGGGGTAAAATTGATTAGCCTTTTGGAGCAGGGCTATTTCGGATCGCATTCACTCATTTATGCTGCACATCTGAGTAGTGATTTTCTGAGCTGAGATACTATTGAGGAATCATGGTCTGGCGCTGCGCCCCCCATGAACTTTTTAGCAAGCCTCCCACCACCCTACACCTTGTCTGCCCAGGTGGATAATTGTTTTCTAGAAACGACTTGCTTCTCAAACTGGACACCGTTCAGCGAGCAATCGGAAAGCTTTGTCAGAAGACAAAACAAGTGGAGACGAGGGCACCCAAAGCACTGTTGCAAAACATTGTTGGTAGGCTTGAGAAAGTACTACGAATAGCACAGACTCTGCCTGGGTTACGATGTAGACAGAAGATGCATAGTTCATCAGCGAATAATCCAAAGAGCGCATCCGTAAGGATTTCTGAACGAAATTTATCATAATTTTTAACCATCATTTTTAAACGCGAGCTAAATTATTCACCAACCGTTATTTTTTAGACTGACAGGTAATATGATATCAGGATTGACCTTAGGTAAGAGAAACGCTTAATTAGTATTTAAGCCGATGAAACTACATCATTTTGTTCACTTCGCGAGGAAAATGCCTGTTATAGGGCGTCCAAATATGGTGCCGCTATAAAGAATAATTACTGAATCTCGTACTTAGCATCATCTTTTATAAGTACTTGAGTTCTGTAGAGGTGTTTTATACTTTAGGTGTTCAACACATAAAGCGTGAAAACTAAATGTTAGATTTCTTACAATATATATTTCCCATCACAACAGCTATACAGCATGATATAAAACCTTCGAAACGAGAACGCCATCTGCAGTAGCATTTTTAAATGAATTCGTCCAAGATTCACATAGGTCATGTAAGAAGGTGTGATGAAATGTTTATTATCACTTCTTTAGTTGCTGGCTCACAAACGTACCCATAATGAAATTTGATGTATTACTCACAGGTAACTGGATCATGAATTACACCCTAATATATTCTGACTATGAGGAGTGCTTGTTATTCCGCGTACCCAACATGCACAATGGTAAGTGTGAAAACTGTGTTTCATTAATTTTTTTTCTAAATTTTTTTGCACTTACATTTAATGCAACAGATGCCTTGTACAGACATTCGAAGAGAGCAGAGATGTTGAAAGCTGCCTTGAAGCGGACACGCCAACGTGTAGAGCATGTCGCTCTGCTTCGTGGCAGTAACAAACATCAACTTTTAGCACATCTCTTAAAAACTCTAAATTAAAAGTATTTTGGGGATCCTTATATTCGACGTGTTCGCCCTAATGGTACGGGTCAACTTTGCAGTGATGGCCACACTACTGTTCCTCTAACGCAGACGTCGCGAAACCAGCACCGTTTTGCAGACTAGCATCGTTACTGAAATAATATCGCGTAAGCGTTCTAGCTTCATTAGCTGGGCTGGTCGGAATACTCTGCGTGGTGTCATTTCCAGAACTTAAAGGATTTACCTACGACATACAGGGTGTTTCAGCTAAATAGCACCAAGCAATGGAAAATAAAAAAATGAGTGCTACGCGTCTCTAACTAGCACAGTATTGTTTTTAGCCGAATGTAGCACGCCAGATAGTTTTTTTTTGATCCGCGAAGCGCGGAAAATCAAAGATTGCCTAATGAACTTTTTAAAAACTGACTGTACATAAAGAAGCTCAATTCGAGACTTGTAGCTCTTATTTAAAAGTATTAAAATTTACAAGTTACGGTAAGGTAACGAGGCTGGTTCTTTTTTCCAGGGTTTCTTTAAAGTGCGCGAAATTAAAAAAAATACTACATGATTTTCGCCTATCGCGTGGCGCTTCAAGTGTATTCATTGTAAGGTGAACGAATTAGTGAAGACATATCAGACACGAAGGTCGCTTGAACAGGCTATCGGTGACTACGATGGGCATTAAGCGATGGTTGGATGGTATAAAAATGGGGGAGGGGGTGAAAGAAAGAAACGACGACAACAAACTTTGACGAAAAAGCGGCTGCCACGTGCATTGCGATACAAGACAGGAGGAAGCATTCGGCGCAGCACAGAGAGTTTTTTTACTCTTTTTGGGCCAACAATAAACATGACGGTGGGGGAGACCTATAACGAGCAGGGGCCATCGTTGCACCACCGAATGACTTAGTGGTGGACTATTGGAGTGATCACGAACTTGCGACAACTCAATGATATGAGGTATTGGCAGGAGCCAGGTCTTCCTATCCACATGGCCGCTTTTACCGTCATTTCTTCGTCACGCACCTTTTGTGCTTCTTATCTCCATATGCGCGAGCCTCCAGGTGCTGTATTCTTTTATTTTGTCGTATGGTTTATCTTTCGGTGTCTCCATAGCATACTTGTGGCTTCGGTATTGCCTAGTTTCCTTTAACAGTACACGCACCGTATGACAAGCAGCTTAAATTCGCGTGGTAGTGTAATAAAATACGATACAGATGGCTCAGGAAAATAGTAATTTATGAGAAATAATATATTTAAATGTTTACAAATACTGCAGCACAATGAAAGGTCATTGCTGGAGTGGGGTACGCGAATACAGTTGCAAAGAATAACAGTGAAAACACAACAAGTACCTCAACAGTAAAGATTTCTTCATCTCTTAAACACAACCTGGTACAACTTAGCACTATACCTCTGTGCTTTAAACCATATGCTGAGGGCTATTTGTTGGTTGACTGTTCTTTTTTTCTAGGTGTAAACCTTTCACACTTTCAGATGCTTTTTAACTTTAGCGTGTTGCCATTCATAATTGATCAATACCATGTGCAATTTGATGTGAGTAAACTGCCATGGTATCAATGAACCTATTTCAAACATTTTTTTTGCAGGAACTGGATGCATGATTCTTGTTACTGACCTGGAAAAAGGGATGTCAAGTACATGCGAAGCAACGTTTAATAAAGTTTGCGGCATGAGCCATAATATTTGGAAAGTTCCAGGGACGAACTGTAAGGACCGGCATAAGCAAATCACTGAGACATGTGATTTAACAGCAGGAAAATGAAGACTGCCTTTTGGATAGCATCTGGCATAAGGTGCAATGTTACTGAACCAGATAAAGTAAAAACGTCGTGGTGCATTCCGGGCTCTATTAGTGTTTTGTACTGTCTCAGGTCAAGTGATCCTAGCAGATGAGCAAGCTCCTTGTCTAATAAAAAAATCGACTTATGGCTGATGCACGCGTCTCCCATTTTTTATTGTGGAAAGCGTCGATAAATTTAGCAGTTAATATTATACTGTGCCTAGAAAGTGCTTCTGCATATACAAACTTTATGGGGCAGCCACAAGCAGTCACGAGTATTGACAGGAGCATAATCAGTGTTTGAAGAACCTTAACAGATTGCATCTAACATCGCATTGCTATACTTATGAATATATATATATATATATATATATATAAATATATATATATATATATATATAAATATATATATATATATATATATATATATATATATATATATATATATATATATATTTATATATATGCCCAGACAGAATGTTATGTGGGCGGGCGAGATCAGGATGTTTACGGGTGTAAACTGGCAGCGGCAAACACAGGACAACGTCGTTGACTGGCGGAACACGGGAGAGACCTTTGCCCTGCAGTGGTGATAGTCAGGCTGCTGCTGCTGATAGGGATATGCAGCCTCTATGAATTATCACGTAGTATTAGACACATGATAAAAATTCCATTCTCTCTTTCTTTCTACAGAAGCGCGCATATATATATATTTAATTATGAATTTTATGGTCTCTCCTATTCGCAAATCCGGCGTTGGCGCTGTAGTCTACAACCCCACTGCGCATGCTCGCGTCTTGCGTCTCGAGCAGCATGGTCACCTCTCCTGCCAATTTTCTCTCCCCTTTCCCCCTCTCTCGCTTCGCAAGGCCGACGAAAGCAGTGGGTGCTAATAAAAACCGACTGGTCCCACTGCACAATCCTTCACAGACCTACCCGTATATCTTCGCACTGGATCGCGCGTTCGGAATTTCGTCAAAGGTGTCTTTACTTGGCCTTCGCTTGACTTGGTGCTTTGCTTTACTCGAGTAGATGCGATGAAAGCAATGCTACCTTCAACCAGTACTGGGGAACAACCCACATCAGTTTCCCATCAATCGTTGAAGCCAACGCTTCCCCTTCATTCAATGAATAAAAAATATTAAAAATGAAGTAACAATTACGCATTCACAAACCATGCCCACTTACGCAGCATTCATGCAATACCCCCACCATTCTCCGATGCATTTACTCGAGTTGCCCCCATGGGAAGATGCGGGTGTCTTTTTTTCGTGGCTTTGCGTACCATCGCCACTCCCAATCCTACGACACGTGCCTCGTGACCTATATATATATATATATATATATATATATATATATATATATATATATATATATATATATATATATATATATTCAGACGACGTCAAGTACGAAGGAGCAACTATTGTATTTTTAACACAGACGCGCGAGCCATCAACCAAACAGGCAGCGAGAGACTACGATGATGATGATCACGATGATTTGTATGTGCAAGAGACGATGATGAACTACACAATCAGCGCTGACACTATTTCCCCCCTACACAAAAGCAGTCAGCAAAACGTCCATTTAGTAAGGGTACAAGCGCCGGATATAAGGCTTCACGCGAGACACATGAACGATCTCGGTCCCGCGACGACGGTGATCAGAAGCTCACGTAACTGGAGTGACACAATAATTCACGGCCGATGTTCGTTCAAACCTTTTGTAAGGACCAAAGTATCTGTGAACAAATTTTTCACAGAGGCCGGGTGTGCGAACAGGTTTCCAGAGGAGCACTTCTTCACCTGGATAGAATGACACAACTCTACGTGTCGCATCGCAATGAACTCTTCCCTGGGCCTGAATGATAGAGGTGTGTGCACGGGTGATTGTGCGGCAGTGGTCTACACTGGTAGCGAATTATTCCAGAAGGATCGCAGACGAGACAGAGGACGTGGACAAGAACATGGTGTCTAGAACAAAAGATGGTGCACGGTCATTCACAAAGAAAAACGGGCTGTAACTTGTAGTGTGTTGAATGGCAGGGTTATAGACAATCCTGACAAAAAGTAGTATTGTGTCCCAGGTCTTGTGATTAGGCTGGACATACATAGAGATCCTTTCTGGCAAAGTAATATGAAAATGCTCTATGAAACCATTTGTTTGCGGATGATATGCTGAGGTGGTCTAATTGATGGTGTCAGAGGCCTGTAGGACTTCAGCGAGCACATGAGAAAGAAATGTCTTGCCGTGGTCACTCAGGAGAACACGAGGGGCACCGTGGCACAAGATAACGGCACGCAGAACAAATTCAGCCACTTCAGAGGCAGCGCACGAAGGAAGAGCTGCCGTCTCAGCGTAACGAATTAGATGGTCCACGGCTGCAACAATCCAGCGGTGACCGGTAGGGGCAAACAGAAGGGGTCCATATAAGAGTATACCGAGGAACTCGAAGAAAGCGGACGGGCACAGGAGAAGTTGTAGAGGGTCAGCGGGAAGAGATGTCCCACGTTTCCGGTGCTGACATATTAACAGGAACTTACGTACGTGGAAACACTCGTGGAGAGGCCAGGCCAGAAGCAGCGAACATTGATGCGATCATACGTTTTATAAAAAAACCCAAGTTGCCAGACGTCGGGTCCTTATTAAAGGCTCTTAAAACTTGGAGTCGAAGTTAGCGAGGTGTGACTGTAACCCATCGGCTACCGAGAGGATGGTCTATTTGCCGAAGTAGCGCCCCGTCATGATGTTTGAAACGCGTGAATTGTCGTCGTAAGCGGAATTGTTAGGAGCACGTGACAAGCCCGCGAGCCGATCAATGATTGTATGGCACTACGTGCCTGCACGTTGGAGCGAGGTGAGGTCTGTGGACTGAGGGAGGTCATCAGGTGCAGTGAACTCGATAGGACTAAGAATGATCATCTTCGTGGTCTCTTGGCAGGGATGTGCTGCGCAGCAGGTAGATGAATCCAGGTTTTGCAAGAGCAGACAGCATGATAAAGCATCCGCATCTATATGTTGTCGACCCAACCAGTTTGTGACACTGTAGTCACACTTCTGCAGACGGAACACCCAACGACTGAGGCATCCTGACAAGTTCTTTAAGGAGGACAACCAACAGAGCACATGATGATCCGTGACGATGGTGAAGTTGCGGCCATACAAATAGGGGCAAAATGTTTATGCGGACCACACGTTAGCCAGACATTCTTGTTCAGTGATGCTGTAATTCCATTCCACTGGAGAGAGATTGCGGCTCGCGTAAGCCACGACTTGCTCTTGCGAAGCCTGGTCACGCTGCAACATCACAGTGCCAATTCCATGCGCACTTGCGTCAGTGTGTAATATAGTAGGGGCTGTAGGATCCAAATGGGGAAGAACTGGTCCTCACGTGAGGGTCTGGAAAGCAGCTTCACAGTCACCTGTCCAAATAAATGATACATTTATGGTCGGGAGTTTCTGAAGAGGAGCCGCGATAGTGGTTAAATTGTGAACAAACCGTTGGAAGTAAGGGGCTAAGCCGAGGAAGCATCGGAGGTCGTCAAGCGCGGTGGGCTTAGTTGCCGGGATCAGGTTCGATGCCCAGCTAGCTGACAACGTGGCCTAACGCTTTGAGGCGGCGGCTCACAAAATGACACTTCTTGGCATTTAGCTGGAGACCGGCTTTGGCTAGACATGTGAGCACCTCGTCTAGACGTTCTAGGTGCTGCAAGAAGCTGGATGAAAAGGTGATGATGTCTTCCAGGTAAAAAAGATAGGTCTTACATCTTAGGCCTCGCAGCACCGTATCGATCATTCGCTCAATAGTGGCAGGGGCATCGTAGAGCCCAAAAGCCATCACACTGAACTCGAAGAGGCCACCAAGAGTAGCAAACGCTGCCTTCTTTTTATCAGACTCATGCATCGGGATTCGCCAATGGCCAGATAATAGGTCAAGGCTTGAAAAGTATTCTGTGCCCTGTAATCTGTCAAGGCATCGACAATCTGAGGCATAGGATATACATCCTTCCGGGTAATTTTGTTTAGTGCCTTGTAATCTAAGCCAAATTGCACTAACCCATTCTTTTTCTTAACTAGGACACTAGCAGAAGACAAAGGGCTTGCTGAAAGCCTCATAGCGTTGCGTGCAAGCATGTCATTGACTTGTTCCTTGTTAACTTTGTGTTCTGAAGACAACACGTGATAAGGGCGACGGTGAACGATTCGAGGCTTATCTGTGTTGATGCGATGAGAAGCCGCCGTAGTTTGACTCAAGCTATCCAAACAAACGTCAAAAGAAGACTGGTGTTTTGTTAAAAGAGCCTTTAGGTCATTAGTTTTTGTTGGAGTAAGATATGAACTAAAATTGGTTTTAAGCACATTAGATGATCCTCCTGGTGGCGTACACTTAGCGACTGATGACGGAGACAATATAGTGGCGACACATACGTGTGATATGTCGATAAGCTGGCAACAGTGGACCGCCCTCGCAGTAGTTGTGCCTCTGTTGCCATGTTGTAGACAGTGAGACTGGTATGACCACGTGAAAACCGCACTAAACAACAACCAATGGCAAATATTCGAAAAACGCAGCGCTGATCAAGGACAACCACTGCGTTACGTAAAGGTTTTGCTCGACGTAATGGTGAGGATACGTTCTTGGGCTGGCGGCAGTACAAAATCTGCAGCTGCGACAAGGTGAGGCGTCGAGAAATCGAAAGCACTACAATGCTCAGTGTCTGTAATGAGTATAACGGGCGGACCACACGAAATGACAGCGGAAGCAGCTGACAGGAAACCCCAGCCCAATATAATCGGATGAGCACACGAAGAAAGCACAGAAAGATGTGTATGGTGGCAAGTTTCGTCGATCAGAACACGAACAGTGCAGCGTGCAATAGGGCAAATTTGATTGTCATTAGCCCCACATAACACCAGACCAACATAAAGAGTTTGCACACAATTCGCGATCAATGACCAAAATGGCGGCTTCAGTGTCCACAAATGCGTCAACTGAAATTTTTTCTACAAAAACAAAGAACGTGAAGGAGGAATTCTGACAATTCGACGACACGCAGTTTCTCCTCCAAAAACTACAGCTTCTAAATGTTCAAGTGGCTGTCGAGGGGCATTAGGGTAGAACATAAAGGCGATGTAGTACGGCGAAAGGG